ATTGCATCGACAGTAAAGTGTGACTAACCCCAAGTAATATTTTTTGTATGTGTAATATTTGGGTCATTCTAAGAAAAAATGTAATGTATCTTTACAGTAGAAAACCTCTTCTTGATCAACTTTTTCACTGTCAAAGTTTCTGGATATGATGTCATCAGGTCAATTTTTGATACAAAAAACAAAGGAAAACTAATTTGCAATTCACTTAATAACATCATATCCGGAAACTTTGACAGTGAAAAAGTTGATCAAGATGGGATTTTTCATTATAGAGATATATTATACTTCATCTTCGAATGACCCAAATATTACACATACAAAAAATCATACTTGGGGTTAGTCACACTTTAAGGATAAAAACTCATTTGTTGCTTTACTTACCATGGTCGATTTGATTTTCTCCAAATAAATAAGCCAGTTACTATGAAATGAACGTTCTGAACAATTAACAGATTTGGGATGCACTTCCACCTTAACATGTCGACCATCCTGCTGTATAGAGAGCTGTGGCGGTCTGAGAACGGAAAATATTTTAATTTACATTATATAGTCCATTGTGTGTAATCGGTAGAACTTGTTAAGGGGGTCTTCCACCCTAAAAACATTTTTTTCAATTTGAAGGTTTTATCATCATATTTGAGTCAAATATGATGGAATATCCTCAGCTGACGCAGGATCAGTAACTTTTACATTCGTCGTTGCCATAGTAACTAAGATAGGCCTCGCTATAGGGTAAAATATAGGGTTTGCTCCAAAAATGATGTGAGCCAAACTAATTTACCGAGGATTTTAGAAACAGCTTTAATGGACACTTAATACATCGATCTATGTCATGAACCTAAAAAAATATACAAGTAATATAATAAGGCCTTCATATTTTACTTTTTTAAAATTATATGAAGAAAGGAGTTCTTATAAGGCTACTCTTGCAATGTATATTGCTGATATATGAAGTTTTTTAGGTCCATGACATGGCTATGTAACAAGCAAATAAACTCTGAAAATTTCGAACGAATTGATTCAGTATGAACAGTAGGAGAGTTTTTAGTATTTCGCAAAATGCTCATGTGAGAAAAGCGATTTTAAAGTTTTTGCATATATTAGAATAACTTAGATAGAACAATATAATTGAAAATGGAACAATAGACTAAACCAATCGCATATCTTTATCGCTCCGGATAAAATCGTAGTTTTACCCTACGAAGGTGTAGAATTTGCTGGATTTCTCTGGTTTACGGTACATTTTCGTTCTTAAAATTACACGGATTTTATAAAGAACGCTATAAAGAGTACATTTTTACGTTTTTCTAAAAAATAACGAATATTGGAAAATTTGGGTGGAAGACCACCTTAAATACAATTTTGAAACGGTAGTTTTGAGTTTATAACAACAGCCAAACTGGAGAACCGTACTCAATCCCGGATCGATTCGTATAAATGAACAATAGTTTTGGATAATATCTAAAGGGTGAAAGCCGCTCTCTCTAACAAACGCAAAGCGTAAAGGAGAGAATTTGTTTTCTTCAAAACTTTAAACCGTCCACACGAGAAAGTAAACTTGTCAAGGGGAACGTCTGTATGGGGGCTTAATTATTCTTTACTCACCGCGAAGAATGTGGAGAATGACAAACAGAGATGACGTTGGGATAAAAACCAGCACAAAGAATTGCTTTGATTAAGGATTCGTTGTCTGGAAAACAGATTTAAAAAACGTTTACAAAAAGGAAGATTCTAGATTGTGAACAATGGCACACGTACTTGCTACATTGTTGCTACATCTGTGGAAGGCCTGCTGTAGAGTGGATCGATATATACCGGTATTGGCGATATTGACAATTCAAAAATACCGATATACCGACATTTCGGTATTTTGCTGCCTAATACCGGATTGAAACGCTACTTCATGTCGAACGTGTTTAGAAACCAAAGTTACCACTCGCAGATGGACGATTTTGTTCTTATAGGCCTACAGTTCTAGCAACTTAATCGGAAATATATAAATGGCGAAAATTTTTAAGGAATGGCGAAATTTTTAACGCTTAGCGCCGTTAACATAGTTTGATAATGCGAATCTTGTGAAATTTGCACTAATAACAATATGAGTCACATTAATATTTTGTCAAAACTTAATTTTTCTCGACGTTCAGCAGTTCAGTTTGATTTTAAAAAACACGTTAAAAATATTGGTATACCGGTATTCTGATGGCGGTATATCGGTATTTGGTATTTGCGATATCGATCCACTCTAGCCTGCTGTTTAATATTCAGATCGCATTCGGTGAGCTCTCTATATATACAACTGGAGCAAGAACCTCAGTCATTCGGCCTG